CAAGGCTACAGTAATCAAAACAGCATGGTACTGGTCCCAAAACAAAGATATAGACAAATGGAACAGAACAGAGGCCTCGGAAGCAACACCACACATCTACAACCAACTGATCTTTGACATACCTGACAAAAACAAGCAATGCGGAAAGGATTCCCTGTTTAATAAGTGGTGTTGGGAAAACTGGCTAGCCATGTGCAGAAAGGAGAAACTGGACCCCTTCCTGATACCTTACACTAAAATTAACTCTAGGTGGATTAAAGATCTAAACATAAGACCTAACACCATAAAAACCCTAGAAGAAAACCTAGGCAAAACCATTTAGGACATAGGCGTAGGCAAGGACTTCATGGCTAAAACACCAAAAGCATTGGCGACAAAAGCCAAAATAGACAAATGGGATCTAATTAAACTCCAGAGCTTCTGCACAGCAAAAGAAACAATCATTCGAGTGAACCGGCAACCAACAGAATGGGAAAAAATTGTTTGCAATCTACTCAACTGACAAAGGGCTAATATCCAGAATCTACAAAGAACTAGAACAGATTTACAAGAAAAAAACAAACAAACCCATTAAAAGTGGGCAAAGGATATGAACAGACACTTCCCAAAAGAAGACATATATGAGGCCAACAAACATGAAAAAATGCTCATTATCACTGGTCATTAGAGAAATGCAAATCAAAACTACATTGAGATACCATCTCATGCCAGTTAGAATGGCAATCATTAAAAAATATGGAGACAACAGATGCTGGAGAGGATGTGGAGAAATTGAAACACCTTTACACTGTTGGTGGGAGTGTAAATTAGTTCAACCATTGTGGAAGACAGTGTGGTGATTCCTCAAGGACCTAGACATAGCCATTCCATTTGACCCAGCAATCCCATTACTGGGTACATATCCAAAGGATTATAAATCGTTCTACTATAAGGACACATGCACACAAATGTTCACTGCAGCACTGTTTACAATAGCAAAGACCTGGAACCAACCCAAATGCCCATCAATTATAGACTGGACAGGGAAAATGTGGCACATATAGACCATGGAATACTATGCAGCCATACAAAACGAGGAGTTCATGTTCTTTGTAGGGACATGGATGAACCTGGGAACCACCATTCTCAGCAAAATGACACAAGAACAGAAAATAAAACACCACACGTCCTCACTCATAGGTGGGTGTTGAACAATGAGAACACATGGACACAGGGAGGGGAGCATCACACACTAGGTCTGTGAGGGGGAACTAGGGGAGGGACAGTAGGGTGGGGAGTTGGGAAGGGATAACATGGGAAGAAGTGTCAGATATAGGTGATGGGGATGAAGGCAGCAAACCACATTGCCATGTGTGTACCTATGCAACAATCCTGCATGTCCTTCACATGTACCCCAAAATCTAAAACGCAATAAAATGTTTTTTAAAAAAAGAAAAGAAAATCACAGATTCAATATATTTCTACATTATTTTCTTATTTGTTGCTTAGGCAGGAAGAAGAGCCAAAGGCAATTAACACATAATAACAACTGTAATTTATGGATTGTTGCTAACTGCTACCACAGTGATAATAAGTGATATACAGACACATACAGCATGCAGCCTTATTTTTATAAAAATCTATGTAGTTATTTTTGCTACCATTTTTCAAATGAGGAAGCAATCTTTGAATTAACTTGACCAATGTTACTTAGAGTCTATTCCAACATAGACCATGGATTTATCCACTAGATTATACTGCTACCCCAAAGCCAAGACCTGGAAATCCCATTAAAGGGCTTCTCTTATTGCTAATTAATATAATTTTTATCTGGCTGGTGCTGAGTGTGCTTACCAGAGCAAATGGCAACTTGTCAAGCACTATGCAGAAGAAAAACATTTCTCACCAACTCTACCTATTTATGCCTGTCTTTTCAAATGTCATCCATTTAATTCAAGTTAAAAAGGGAGGACAAAAAGTGCAAACATTATAACAGACTATGACCCATCAATGAATTGGTCACGTTAACCTCAAAATATCACATGAGGTTTAAGAAAATCTTACAGCAGACATAATGATTCTCTAAGGGCCTCAATTGATATTTGTTGAGACTATGGCACAGTGATTCAGACATTTCATTGCCATTTACTAGGTAAGTGAACCACTCAAATGGCTAATTATCCACTGAGTTTTTCAGGTATCTGAAGAAGGCTGAGTCATCAGATCCTGATGCAGGTATTACCCATGTGGATCAAGGAGGATAGGAAGGATGATTGGCCAGGTAATACCTGCAGTACTAATAAATTTTCAGCAAAGATAAGGCATCCCCAAGTCAGTGCCCCATCAGAAGAGTCCTGTGTCTCCCAGGAACTGACCTGTCTTAGAGTCCCTTCCACAAACACAGTACATCTCAGGACTATAGGTCAATTACATTCCTTGCAGAGAACTGAGAGGCTCCTTTCATGGCCACCATATCTTAAACTGATTCCTTAGTGTGCCCCTCTAAATGTTCCACTAATTCCAGCAAATGTTTGAATACAACTTAAAAAACGGCTTTAATCTATCCTCAATAACTCGTTTAAGAGTCACCAGTTACTCCAGATTTATATTGAATGAGTTAATATTTATAAAGCACTTACAGGCCGGGTGCTGTGGCTCTTGCCTGTAATCCCAGCACTTTGGGAGGCCGAGGCATGTGGATCATCTGAGGTCAGGAATTCGAGAACATCCTGGCCAACATGGTGAAACCTTGTCTCAAAAAAAAAAAAAAAAAAAGCACTTACATTGCTGCCTAGCACATAGTAAGTACTAAATTGTTACTACTGGGGTAGTATCAGAGTTTACTGAACTTCTGAAAGAAGGAAGACTTGTGGGACTACAAATTGTAGTCTTCTTTCAGCTAGCATTTAATGAGGTAATGCTGGAAGAGGGGTCTTTCCCATAAGGATCTGCAATGTGGATCTACAAAACTTTTTCTACAGGGTACACTGAGAAAGTAAGGCAGACACATAAAGAATTATAATTATCTGGCAGAGTTTGCTGAAGTCTTCTTCCAGCTAGCATTTAATGAGATAATAATGCTAGAATAGGGGTAAAGTAAGGGGTCTCTTCAGAAGCAGTCTCCCATGAATTCTCAAAGCACTTGGGAAGCTATTTCTTTGACTTCAGCAGACTCTGCCAGATAATTATAATTCTTTATGTGTATGCCTTATCTCAACTAAGCTACACTCATGTTCATTCATTCAACAAATATGTATTGAGGGCCTCCATGTGTCAGACACCGTTCTAGATGCTGAGGACACATCAGTGGGCAAAATAAAAGTGCTTGCCTTTGTGGAGATTACACTCTAGTGAGGGGAGACAGACCATAAACATGATATATAAGTAAATCATATAGTCTGCTAAAGGGAGATAAGTACATGGCGGGAAGTAGGCTAAGATGGAGAAATGGGGTTTGAAATATTTAAAAAGTAGTCAGGGTGGGTCTCACAGAGAAGACTGACACCTAAGCACAGTTCTGACGAGTGAGCAGTGATAGTGACTTTCTCAAGGGCAGTTACCGTAACTTCACCACCGCAGACCAATCCTGTGCATTTGGTTAACATTTAATAGATGTTTACTAATTAAAGGAAATTCAAAGACTTGGCTAAAATCACACTCTAGATCAAAGATCAGTCAAGAACGGATATATCTTTAATACATCAAAACTATGGTTTCTGGCCGGGCACAGTGTCTCATGCCTGTAATCCCAGCACTTTGGGAGGCCGAGGCGGGTGGATAACCTGAGGTCAGGAGTTTGAGACCAGCCTGGCCAACATGGTGAAACCCCGTCTCTACTAAAAATACAAAATTAGCTGTGCATGATGGCAGACACTTGTAATCCAGCTACTCAGGAGACTGAGGCAGGAGAATCGCTTGAACCCAGGAGGCAGAGGTTGCGGTGAGCCGAGATCACGCCATTTCACTCTCAGCCTGGGCAACAAGAGCAAATCTCTGTCTCAAAAAAAAAAAAAAAAAAACTACTAAGTCCGGCTCGGCCAAAGAGACCCCAACCCAGGTGGCACTGAAGGCATTAAGAAGCAGACACCCAGATAGAACAGCAAAGTGGGACTATCCAAGGACCAACAACCTTCTGAGTAGCCTCAGAGGACTGACAGCATTCTGGGCTGAGAGCCTCAAGCAGATTCTGACCCACGTAGTTAATATCTCTGAACAGGTGATTCTTATTAAAAAAAAGGTGTTCTGTGTTTTCACCAAGATAAACCAGGTGAGCAGCTGGTGCCTGCTTACCTGCTTACCACTGATCACAGGCAAACTAAAAAGTATTCTCCATTAGGGAGCCACGAAGGCAGGGTCACACATCTCGTGCTTAAGGAATTGTTTTAACCAGTATATGATGTACATACTGTATACTGTTTTGCCACTTTAGAATGCCTCAAGCGGTTTTCAACTTGGGGGGGAGAGGCAGCAGCTAGGTTTTCCTTGCCATTGTTCTTCTTAGCAAACAATATAATTTTATCATACACTCAGCATTTCTCAACACAAAACTATGGTTTCTACTGAAGCACCAGAGTGTCCTATGCATATCCCTAAAGAAACATTGAATAATCGGTAGAGGTCACTAATAAATGACTATTACCATTTTTTTAAAAAAAGGAAACCGAACAATTCCTTTTCAAGAAACCAACCCTTACTAACATCCTCCCACTATTTTAAATTCAGAGTTAGCATTTACTTTCCATAGTACCCTTAGGTATATATGTCAATGGCTTCGGCTTTCTGCCATAAAGAAGTTTTATGTGCCATGATAAATATGGTATTTATCAGGATGGATTTTGCCCTTTTATTTAATTATGGGTATAAAATGACAAAGCCACCTCAACTATGTACATGTATGAGTTCAGTGATTAATGTATCGTTACATCATACTTACAAACTGTTCATCAATAGAGTTAACTTACATGCAAGAAGGTTAACATGAGCAAAGCAAACTTTTTCCAACAAATTATTTCACACAGGTATATGCTTATGAATCTATTTAATTGTTCAGACTGTGCTAGAGAATACATATCATGAAATACATATATTTCATAAAGCTCAGGTACAAAATGGATGGTTTCAAATGGAAATTTCTTATACTAACCTGATTATGAAAAAAAGAAAAATCTGTACCATCTGCTTCCAAGTCTGTTATGTCCAAATATATTTTTCATTATGCATTTAATTATTTAGCTCATTAGTTTTATAAATATTAGAGATTTCGCCTTAAATTATTTTGTAAATAGTTCTAGAACATATTTTCCAATTATTATTTTTCTAATGAGGACATATAATTGACCTATGTTTACACATATATGTTCTCTACACAGTGAAACTTTTTTTTAAAGAGAATAGTAAAGAAAATGCAGAAGCTCTGGCTCTCCAAGGCCAAAAAAAAGGCAGGTGGGGGGAGAATATGAGGAACATTTTATTATACCTCCTGATTTTCACTCCTTGAGTTTTATTTACTCCTTTTGTTTATTTGTTTAATGCTAGAAACCGTATTCTTAATGGAGCATACCTCTTCAGGTAAGCATGATAATTGACAGATTTTAATATTTAGAGTATGAACGTATAATTGAGAAGTGATTACCTAATAAAGATAACAATGTGACTATTGTAATTATTTTGGTGGCAGGGAGTTGGTTTTACATCATTATTCAAAAAAAACCCTTAGGTTTTAAATTCTAACTTTCTGAATCAAAATGGAGAGCCTCTCAAGCAAAAGAGCTATGCAGTCAGCAATGACTTAAATTAGTCACGATAGCAGGAATCCGGGGTTAAGGCTGCTTCCACCATTTTGGTCTCACCACCAAATACGAGTGGGACCACAGCTGTGTAGCACTTGTTTCTGTCATAAGTGTAGCAGGTCTCTGTAGCACTGTCTTCTTCATCACAGATATTGCTCTGGGTAGCAGTAACTATCTGATTGTCCAGCTCCACTTCTGTAGGATCACATTTTTTACAGCTGAAAAGCAAATACATGTATTAGACAATCTCCTCAAATGCTGTCTCAAAATCTGACTACACATTTCAATCCAAAATCAATTAAGTCTCGCAGCTCTGACCTGACAACAAAGGATGACTCCTCTCAGACGTAAGCAGCTCCACAATACAGAATAGCTTATGAGATTTTCCAATCTTTAATTTATAAATATTAGTTGAAAGTAAGCAATATAATTAATGATATGATAATACGATTGTTTTCTGTACACCATACAGCAATTTCTACTGTGTTAGGCTTATTCCCAACTGCATACCTGTTTAAACAAGTTATTTATAGTAACAAGAAAGGAATTTTTTTAATATTTCTGTTAGAGTCTTAATTTCCAAAGAAACACCTGCTTGTTTATAAGATCAAATCCACATATTGAACTAATAAGAGAAATTGGCCCTTCTATAAATGGCAACAATTTCTTCTTTAGAAAAAATGTATAGCTAATTTTTATCTGTGACAAAGTTTTATGAATTTATGTTACCTAATAATTAACATAGGAATTAATGTATTCAGAAGTTCAGATTATATTTGTAAATGTTTATACCCCACCATATTTACAAAAACATTCTTACTAACAAGGTTAATTAAAAGCTATTGACTTCCACATCTACAAACTATGGGAAAGACATATATCTTACAGGTCAGACAAATGGTACACAAATTTGGTTCTCAATGGTGATGTGGGATCAGAGATATTCTCCCTGTTGTTCAGAGGAACACTAGAAGAAAAGAAAGAAAACAAAGTAAAATAATGAAATGCAGATATTGTTATTTTTGATAATAGGTATACTGCCACTATCTCATCAGAACAGTAGTTGCTGTATTTAGTACTCTATAAGCACTCTAGAATAATACCATTACTCAGTTTTTTACAGTGACTTGCTATATTTTAAATATTTCTCATTCAGAATAAACCTCACAGCAACTCCACTGTCAACTATCTTTACTGATTTGGCAATTTTTTCTTCTCCTTTAAAACTTTTCCTTTGCTTTTCCTCTAAAACTCACATTTTACCTCTGTAATAATTACATTGATGTTATTCCCACCCTTCAACAAACTTCTTCCTCTGCAGTCTCATTAATGCTCCTATATATTTATTTCGAGTGTGTGTGTGTGTGTTTGTGTGTGTGTGTATGTGTGTGTGTGTGTGTGTGTGTATGTGTATGCCATATCATAGCTGCTTGTCTACAGAGTAGTTACTTCCCTGGGCTGTATAAGTTCCTTGAGGCAAAAACATTTATGTGTTCCCAGTGCTAGGTATGTGGCATATGCAGTATGTTCAATATTTGTGAAATGGACAGACGGATATTGTTATCCAGATTTTAGAGGAGAGGGAATCATAAATAGGAGAGGGTACTGATCCACCCAAGTTCACACAACAACTAAGTAGCAAAGCTGGAACTTTTTCATGGCGATATCCCATGAAAAATTAGATAATGATTGTCAACAAGTTCTGGTGATTTAACTTTTAAATTTTTTTCAACTAACTCATCATTCCTTCTCATATGCACCCCTCCCTACCAAAATAAACAACAAAAAACTTGTGTTTTCTAACTCAGTATTTAGCAATACCATCCACATACGTATCCAAGCCAAAAACCTGGTTATCATACCTGAATCCTCCCCTCTGTCACATACCTAATCAATCTCACAGTCCAGTTTTCTAATTATTTTCATGTGTGAAATCCATACACTTACCTCTCTTCTCATTATTATTGCCTAATTCAGGATACCTCCATCCTCTCCTAGATTGCAACAATGTCTTCCTTTTGTCTTGACCCCTTCAAACCACTGGCCACATTATTGCCAAAACACCCTTCCTAAAATGCAAGCTTAATTTCCTTCTCTGCTTAAAACCTCTAATGTCTCTCCACAGAAGACAGGGTGTCCTCAAAATAGCATAGAAGGCCCTTCCTAATACGCCCCTAACTCTCCAGCTTCATCTCTCACAATGTCACCCTCCACAATACATGTCAGCTATAAACAACTGCAATTCCACAAATGTACCATGCTTTTCTCATCTCCAATTTTAACAATAACAGTTCTAACATATACTACTACTTACGGTGTGCCTGGTACTACGCTAAGCATATTATATAATGATCTCATATAATCCTCACAGCAATCCTGTTTCATTTTCCTAGAATGATCTGTCCCACCCCCTCAATAATCTGAAATAATTGAGTAATTATTTCACACCCCACACACATTTACCCAGCAAACTCCCATTCAGCTAACAGCCATTGTTCATCCCGCCACTTATTCCAAACACCCTTTCCTGCCTCCCACTGCTACCCTTCTCCTCTCCCTGAGGATTAGACTGGGTGCCCCTCCTCAGTGCTCCTATAACAATCCTTGCCCGTTCCTATCATAGCACTTACAATACAGAATTCTAATTGCCTTTTTCATTGTTTAACGTTTCCTGTTAGACTGTAAATCCTCTTAAGAAATGGGCCGGGCGCGGTGGCTCACGCCTATAATCCCAGCACTTTGGGAAGCCAAGGAGGATGGATCAAGAGGTCAAGAGATCGAGATCATTCTGGTCAACAAGGTGAAACCCAGTCTCTACCAAAAATACAAAAATTAGCTGGGCATGGTGGTGCGTGCCTGTAGTCCCAGCTACTCAGGAAGCTGAGGCAGGAGAATTGCTTGAACCCAGGAGGCGGAGGTTGCGGTGAGCTGAGATCGCTCCATTGCACTCCAGCCTGAGTAACAACAGCAAAGCTCTGTCTCAAAAAAAAAAAAGAAAGAAAAAGAAATGGACTGTATTTTAAATAAACTGTTTTATCTCCACCACCAACCCTTAATATTTGGCAGTTATTAAATAAACATTTGTTGAATTAATGCATGAATCTATTCTTAATAAGACTTTAAAGACTCTAGTAATATCTTGAATGGCTTTACATAATGAGAGCGACAAGGGAATAAACATTTTTGAGAGGCTACTATAAGCCAAACACTGTTCTTTTATGAATTATCATATTTAATTCTCACAACCCTATAAAGTATATGTGTATATATTCATACATACATAATTATTCCTTTTTTAAGGTTTAGGAAAAAGGCTTAGTTAAGTAACTTGCCTAACGTCACATCATTTTATTAAGTGATAGAGTTGGGAATAATACCATAATGGCAGGCCGGGCGTGGTGGCTCATGCCAGTAATCCCAGCACTTTAGGAGGCCAAAGCAGGTGGATCACTTGAGGTCAAGAGTTCAAAACCATCCTGGCCAGCATGATGAAACCCCGCCTATACTAAAAATACAAAAATTAGCCGGGCGTGGTGATGCCCACCTGTAGTCCAGCTACTCGGGAGGCTGAGGCAGGAGAATTGTATGAACCCAGGAGGCAGAGGTGGCAGTGAGCCAAGGTCATGCCACTGCACTCCAGACTGGGCAACAGAATGAGACTTTGACAAAAAAAAAAAAAAAAAAAAGGAAAAGAAAAAATACCATAATGGCATAGCAATGGTAATATACTTTCAGAAATCAGAACAGGAAACATCAACACATCTGGCAAAGTGTCATAAAGTAACTGAATTATCTGATTTCAGTAAATAATATAATATAAAAAGACTCATTTCATAAAATAAAAAGATGAATTAGAGGATCTTGGAGAGTCATTTTTAAAAATCTCTCCATGGCTTAAGTGCCAATGTCATTTATACCATTCTTTCTAATTACCCACTAGTTCAGCTGTTCCATCCCTAACACAAAGCTATGTGGGCAGGATCTGAGTGGTCAAAGAAAACCTGCTAGAGGAAGTGATGGCTGAACTAAGACATGCAGATTGAGAAGGAGTTAACTAGCCTAAGAGGAGTGGAACAGGGTTCTTCAAACAGAGTAACTAGCAGATGTAAAAGGAGAAAGCACTGTGAATGTGGGGAAATAGAAACGCTACAGTAGTGCTGAATTTTTAAACATAAAGTAAAAGAAAAGTGGCAATGAATGATCTTGAGAGTTATAGTAAGCTTTGTAGGTGAGGCCAAGCCCTTTGTAATATATCCTAAGATCAATGTTGGGGAAACCATCACAAGGGTTTTAAGCAGGATCGTGACAATAACTGGCACATAGATTAGGTGACTAATAACAGTAAATATTTTTAATATATCCCAGAAATATATAAGCTCTAAAAGGAATAGATATTCTCAATTTTTACAATAATCCTATTGGTTAAGCATGATTTTTTTCCTTATTTAAAGATGAAAAAGTTGAAGTTCAAAGTAGATAAGTAACTTGCATAGAAGAACACAAAGCTATTAAATGGCCCAGCCAGAAATCTTTAAAAATTTTTAAAATAAAATTTTTAAACATATTATACTTTTCCCATTGATTGAATGGGATTGAATACTGTGTTCTCTTTCTATAGGAGATTTGATTGGAGGAAAACTATTAAGGTAGGAGTAGTTTACAAGAAAAGCTTATAACTGATTGGATCCAATAGAAATCTAATTTCTCAAACTGTATCAGCATTCTTGCTATTGAAAAAGAGCTATATAGCATATAAGTCTGTACTGTGTGTGAAATGAAATGAATATCTGAAATCCAACCTAAAAGTGAGACTGAATCAAATTAATTAATGTGATCAGTCTGCCTTATCTTGATGCAGACATCTGATTACAGTGTAAAAGACTCAGTCATATATATATGGTATAAAATAAAGCTTTAGTGTTATCTGAAGTTTCAGTTTGAGCTGCTCAAGGGCAATTGAAAGTTCTGATTCAAACTTAAATAATTAGGCCAGGCATGGTGGCTCAGACCTGTAATTCTAGCACTCTGGAAGGCCAGCACAGGAAGACAGCTTGAGCTCACAAGTTCAAGAACAGCCTGGACAACACAGTGAGACCCTGTCTCTAGAGAAAAATAAAAAATTATCCAGGTATGGTGGTGCACACCTATAATCCCATCTACTCAGGAGGATTGCTTGAGCCTGGGAGTTCGAGGCTGCAGTAAGCAGTGAACTTGCCACTGCACTCCAGCCTAGGTAACAGAGTGAGACCCTGTCTCAAAAACAAACAAACAAAAATAAATAAATAGAAATAACTCCATATAAATTGTGCATGTTGATTACTAGATTAGAACCTTTGTTTATAATTTGTATAGCCCACTGATTTTAGCTTGCCTGTAATTTTTCATTCTTGCCCCTAATTTCAATAAAAGTGCCTCAAGCTCATTCACAAGATTCAATTCTTTACTCATGTAAAGTGCTACACAGCAAAAAGGGGAGTAAAGACACAGGTATTACATTCAAACAATGGCTTAGTATCAGAAAGTATCTCTGCTTAGAACAGGAGAAAAAGAATATACGGAATGCCACATACACAATTTGGATGTTTCTCTCTACGATGTCCTCATTCGGATTATTGGAAGAACGGATGATCCTGGAAGTAATCCGGGCACATTTACATTTGTTGTCAACAAGAACAATCCTTTCATCTTCTTGGGCTTGAAAGGTAAAACATATTAAAAAGAAAGGAAAACAAAAGTCAATTTATATATTTTGTATTGAGTTATTTTATCTTTCTTGCCTGCAGAAAAATAGTTTTATTGTTGGTTAGTCTGAGCTTTCTCCATTTGTTCTCTAAGCAGAATCTCACATCGCAGTGAAGGAAATCCAAATGTACTCTAAAAGGAATTTCACTTTTTTCTTGAACCACTCTATGGAAATCTGGGCTGAAAAAATTCTGATTTTCATCTAATGCTTCTGAAAGAGGCACAGTTCTCTGAATGATGTAGCCTTGGGAAAACCAGTGTCAAATGCCAATGTGAGACAGAAAACAAAAATCTAGATTGGATTTCTCCCAGACCAAAGCAATTCATTCAAATGTGAACAAAAAAAAAATAGCACCCGACTTTACAAACCCAATTTAAAATGTCACAACCTTCCTGAACTCTCATTTGTACTTAAAATTTTTTTGCATAAATTGTATTATAGTTAAGAACAGGCATGTTTTCCTCCAAGATAACCTTATTTTGTAAGAGTTTTAAATATTCTCTACCCCAGCTTTCCTAAGCTAATTATTTGCCTTTTCATAATAACAATCAGATTATCATGATACATGATTCAATCAAAAAATAAGGGCTATATTTCTTATAAGAATTATTTTAAAAGATAGAGTATATATAGACATAAAGTGCTATAAATTTGCAAAAGCAATTTAGAAATATTGAGGTATAAACTCAATTAAATATGCCTGTATACAGAAAAAAATAAATAAATGAATTAATACACATATGACCATTACAGCCTTAACTTTCAATGTCAACATTTATTGTCTAATCTGAATATTAGACAAAGAGGTCTGATAAGTTGTTTATTTAGTTGTTATTTTGAGATAGTGTCTCACTCTGTCACCCAGGCTGGAGTACAATGGCACAATCTTGGTTCACTGTAACCTCTGCCTCCCTGATTCAAGCAACTTTCCTGCCTCACCTCCCCAAGTAGCTGGGATTATGGGCGCCCGCCACTACACCCAGATAATTTTTTTTTTTTTTTAATTTTTAGTAGAGATGGGGTTTCACCATGTTGGCCAGGCTGGTCTTGAACGCCTGACCTCAAGTGATCCGCCTGCCTCAGCCTCCCAAAGTGCTGGGATTACAGAGCGAGCACACCCAGCCTTGATAACTATTGCACAGAATAAACAAAGGTAATTTTGTATGATCTGGATTTGGATCAATTAAAAGATTTTACTTTTATTTTTTATTTTTGAGACAGAGTTTCACTCTTGTTGCCCAGGCTGGAGTGCAATGGCGAGATCTCGGCTCACTGCAACCTCCGCCTCCCAGGTTCAAGCGATTTTCCTGCCTCAGCCTCCCAAGTAGCTGGTATAAGCATGTGCCACCACTTCTGGCTAATTTTTGTATTTTTAGTGTAGACAGGGTTTCACCATGTCTCTACTGAGCTCAAACTCCTGACCTCAGGTGATCCACCTGCCTTGGCCTCCCAAAGTGTTGGGTGTGAGCCACAGTGACCAGCCAATTACCAGGTTTTAAAAATTAAATAATAACTTTACTTAAGTAATACTATTAAGAGTGCTAATTAAACAATAACAATGATATTAAATATTTTTTATTCCTATAGTTTTAGCTAACTGACCTTTACCAATTCCTCTCATTAAGCCTCAACTAAATAAATAAATAAATAAATAAAACAAAAAAACAGATTTGGCACACAAATTCAAGTTATAAAGCTTAAATGATCAGAATAGCTATCATTTTAACTGGAAATCTATTCCTGAGATGATTCCCAGAGCAGAGAGGACCTAATGCAGTATTTCAGCCTTAATGATAAGAGTCATTACAAAAACATTTTAAGACCATTGTTATTGTACTTGTAATTGTTTGAAGTAATTTATAATGCATTATTACACCATTATTCATAAGTTCTTAATGAATCTTCTGACACAAGTCTGTGTAATATTGAAAAGAAACATTATGGAGTCAATTCAAGGTAATGAAATATCTCATTAACATCTGAAAGAGGTAAAATGACCTAAATGATGTCCTCTTTCCTACTTGTGTATCCATGACTCTTAAATGTTTTTTCTCAATGAAATATAAATGAGCACATAATGTCTGACCAAAAATATAGATTATTGAGGAACAAATGACTTGATTATTAAGTCTTAAATAGAAAAATGTCTATATTCTATTATGACATATCATTATTTCCTTACCAGAAACCTGGGAAGTTAATATATAAAAATATTAGGCAGCCTAATATCTATCAGAAATACATAGCTGTCAGAAAGGTACAAATACTTTCAATTCACCAAGACTTAGAGTCTAACATTTGCTCTCACCAACAGGCAGTATTTTCTCCTAACAAGCCTATTATTAAGGACTGTGCCCTACTTTATTCCAAGAGCATCTGATACATGGTAGCTGTTCAATAAATATTTGTTAAATTTAATTTAATTCAGTTCAAACAAATAAGAAAATAGATTTAACAACATATGCCAGATATGACCATAATGAGTTTACTAAAGTGATTGCCTTACGCAAGGCAGAATAGGACAGTAGAGTGCAGGCTATCGGGTCAGATTGCCCGGGTTCTACCTACTTGCTTGCTTGCTGTATGACTTTGGCAAGTTATTTCACCTCTGTAAGTCTCAACTGACTCAACTGTGTGTCAGAAATAATAATAGTATTTATGCTCAGGCGGTTACTGAGATAATTAAATGGAATATTATATGTAAAGGAATTAGTATAATACCTAGAATATCATATTCAGTAAGTGATAGCTATTTTATATACAGATGGTCCCCAACTTACATGGTTCTACTTACAATTTTTCTACTTTATGATGCTGTGAAAGTAATATGCATTCAGTATGCTCCTCACCTACGATGGGGCTACTTCCCTATAAAGCCACTGTAAGTTGAAAGCATGATATTTTCAACTTTCAGCTTTATAGGGTTTACAGAGAAGTAACCCTATCATAAATATCACATATTTTTAGATGTTTATATATACTTATATTGTACATGCTTTACTACTAATATTTTATATTTTAAATCATTAGAAAGTTATTCTTAATGGTAAGTTAGTATAAAATGACTATTCTTAATTACATTTCTGTCATTCTTTGTCTTGAAATAAGAACCATAGATTCAGTGTTAGGAACAATCCAGAAAAATTATTAATGTGACCTTCTCAATGAAAATTATTTAATACTGTACCTCTAAATTCAGAATGTATTTCACTTTCTGAAGCTGTTTGAAAGATCAATAGGCTAGGTGCGGTGGCTCACACCTGTAACTCCAGCACTTTGGGAGGCCAAGGCGGGCAGATCACGAAGTCAGGAGATCAAGACCATCCTAGCCAACATGGTGAAACCCTGTCTCTACTAAAAATACAAAAAATTAGCTGAGTGTGGTGGTGTGCACCTGTAATCCCAGCTACTCGAGAGGCTGAGGCAAGAGAATCGCTTGAACACGGGAGGTGGAGATTGCAGTGAACCGAGATTGCGCCACTGCACTTCAGCCTGGCAACCGATGGAGACTCTGCCTCAAAAAATAAAAATAAAAATAAGAAAAAATAAAAAAAGATCAATAAATAAAATAACAAAAGTTCAGTCATTAAGTTATAGGCAACCTGTATAACATTAAACATCGTTAAGGGATCATAATAAATCTGTGGGCTTAGATCCAGGAAAGCTGTTAAAACCAATACCAGCCTCTTTGGAGAAATAAAATCCCAATGCATCCCATGTTGTATTTACAGTAATTATTATTTCATTTCTCCAGAATGTTAATTTAAGAGACTCAAGGAAAGGATTCTTGATTTTTAAGATTCAATACGGACATTCACGTAAATAGGACTATCTGTAGTTAGCTAATTTCTTATTCTCTAGGTTGTAGCAAACAACTAAGAAAAGGGAAAAAAGAATAAAAAGTATCTTATTTGTGTAAAGACAACTGCCATAGAGAGATAAAAGCATGTTAGGAAAAAGTGGCTGGCTAGCTGGCCAACCAAAGCATAGACATAAATGTTTAAAACTGAAGAACAGATCTGTCCTATGTTTTTCCTTTTATCTGGATTCATTTTCTAAATATCACATACCTTTCACATGAACAGCTGTAACAAAAATGGCCAGGACTCCCCAGAAGAGCAAATGGTTCTTCATCTTGACTTCACTTCTTTTGAAAAACTGGAGCAAAAGTCAGAGTTAAGGTGTGTGATCTATAAGGAGTGTGCAAATGATGGTGCTTCTGCTTTCTTAAAATAACACTCCAGGCAGCTAACAAACTAAAAACAATCACAACTGCGGTTAAAGTCTGAAGTTTAAATGCTGAACTGGAAAAATGTATGACTCACATTTAAGTATTTTCTTGCAAAGCATCCCAAGAAAAGAAAAACATCATTTGATGCAGTCATTTTTATTTTGCATCTACCCTATATAAATGTTTAAACCAGAAGATTAATAATAATTTCAAGTCAGGATTCCATTAAGAATGTTGAAATAGGGATTTTCCATTTTATTACCTGGATATATTCATATCAGTTTTCAAATCAGATATCTGACATTTGTCCTGCCTAGAATAATAAATGAAGGGAAGAGAAGGAGGAGGGATGCAGGAAGGAAAGGAGAAATGAAAGCCCTTTAAGGTCCCAACTGTATCTCATGTTAATTTTTCATACTAGTCCTTAATTAACCAAGCTACCGGACTTAAATATATATTTTGTATATATTTCACAAAATACACATTTTGTATATATTTTGACTACTTTATCTTATAAACTCAAATATAGAATTGGAATTAGAAGCTGGTAGATACTCGGCTGGGCAAAGTGGTTCATGCCTATATTCCGGCCGGGCGCGGTGACTCTCGGCTGTAATCTCAGCACTTTGGGAGGCCTAGGCAGGTGGATCACTTGAAGTCAGGAATTGAAGACCAGCCTGACCAACATGGTGAAACCCTGTCTCTACTAAAAATACAAAAATGAGCTGGATGTGGTGGCCAGCGCTTGTAATCCCAGCTACTTAGGAGGCTGGGGCCTCCACTTGATTCTCTGCTTGAGAATTGCTTGAACCTGGGAGGTAGAGGTTGCAGTGACAAGATGGCGCCACTGCACTCCAGCCTATCTCAAAACAAAACAAAACAAAACAAAACAAAAAAGGCCGGGCACAGTGGCTCACACCTGTAATCCCAGCGCACTTTGAGGGGCCAACGCAGGTGGATCACGAGGTCAGGAGTTCCAGACCAGCCTGGCCAAGATGGTGAAACCTCATTTTTCCTAAAAACTACAAAAATAGCAGGCATGGTGGCAGGTGCCTGTAATCTCAGCTACTCAGGAGGCTGAGGCAGGAGAATCGCTTGAACCCGGGTGGCAGAGGTTGCAGTGAGCCAAGATTGTGCCACTGCACTCCAGCCTGGGCAACTGAATGAGACTCAGAAAAAGCTGGTAGATTGGTAGATACTAGATAAATAAGTTGCCATATTTCAATTTGATAGCATTAAGGCTGGCCTTGTGTCTAGTTATACCTTTTAGAATTGTAAACCCGTAAGATGATTTTTATTTGAGATGCCTCAACAGAAAACTGAATCACTGCAGTATTTTGTGTAAAATTTTTTTCACTTAATGTCTTTTTTTTTTTTGAGAGGGAATTTCACTCTTATTGCCCAGGCTGGAGTGCAATGGTGCAGTCTTGGCTCACTGCAACCTCTGCCTCCCAGGTTCAAGTGATTCTACTGCCTCAGCCTCCCAAGTAGCTGGGATTGCAGGCATGCACCACCATGCCCAGCTAATTTTATATTTTTAGTAGAGATGAGGTTTCTCCATGTTAGTCAGGCTGGTTTCAAACTCCCGACCTCAGGTGATCCGCCCGCCTCAGCCTCCCAAAGTGCTGGGATTACAGGTGTGAGCCACCATGCTCGGCCTAATGTCATTTTTTTTAACTGAGCTTTTGGACAGAGCACCCCCAACACTCCCACTCCAATGTGCTAGAATTTCCTGTCTTTTAAGCAAGGTTGGTTCCAAGAATGTGTTAGTTACACAAATGCATCAAATCTGTGTTACTTTCAGTTCTCAGCTCTAATTTTTGGAGGGACTCCTACAATTTTAACAGGTAATTAGGAGTACTTCATGATCATAAATAAGGCAAACAGACTTCATAGCTAGAAGCAGGAAATGACAAGATGAGAGACATTAAAGGGTAGCATATGATTGCACTTCTTCAAAGCATATGTTCTGAAAGTCTGCAAGAACAAAGTGCCAGGCACTATCACATGCAATATTACTATACTGTCAAAGTTTATTCTTATTTTAATTTCTACTATCAGTAGGACTTAGCAACTACTTGAGTTCAGGGGAAATATACTGACATGGCATGAACAGTTTTACCTATTAAGAAAAGAAACAGACCTGAAAGCACATTATTTTAGTTTGTGGTCAGAATGTCAAAACAAATGACCACTCTAAAATGTCCTCACCCCTAACTGAAGTTTCTAAATAACTGACTTGTTCAATCACAAAAAAAGTAATTAATAGCTGAATACCATGTTAATTCTCGAAAAATAAACTCAAGGCTAGACTGTCTTCCCAAAGCAAGTTCGACAAATCCTTGGAAACAAATTAAAGTTTCCCCCAAATCTTCTTTTTTATAACAGCAAAGATTATTTAACTTAAAATTACTAACTTAGAGAAAACTCTATATTTGATATTTTCACTCTTATAATCCTGCATTTTTATATTTTTATTATGTAAACTATAAATCTCAAATAAATTGTGTTAATAAAAATAAGGTGTACACATTTGCCATTAAAAGAGAATTACCTATGCTGGCAACTTAGGATCTGGACTAGTGTTTTGCCTCGTGTGCTCTAGGGATCATCTGACTAGAACCTCCCGTAGTGCTGGTTAAAATATGGATTTATGGGCTACATGCAGAATTTCTGGAGATGTACCCTTGGAATACATATTGTCTTTCTTTTTTTTTTTTTTTTTTTTGAGATGGAGTCTCGCTCTGTCGCCCAGGCTGGAATGCAGTGATGCCATCTCAGCTCACTGCAACCTCCACCTCCCAGGTTCAAGCCATTCTTCTGCTTCAGCCTCCCCAGTAGCTGGGACTACACGTGCATGCCACCATGCCCAGCTAATTTTTGTATTTTTAGTAGAGACGAGGTTTCACCATATTGGCCAGGCTGGTCTCAAACTCCTGACCTCATGATCCACCTGCCTCGGCCTCCCAAAGTGCTGGGGTTACAAGCGTGAGCCACTGCGCCCAGCCGGAATATATATTTTCAAAAGCATCCCAGTTGATTCTGATGTGCACTGAAGGTTGAAAACTAATAGACAAAAAGCCTGGCCTGGAGTAGGAGGTAAGGGGGTGCAACATTAGCTATTTACGGAAAGAACAAAAGTTTAATAAAGGTAATTTTTAAATAAATAGCCATACTGAAAAGTCAGCTAAGGTTTGTATTGGCTTATAATTCTGTGCTATAGGTGAACTGCTGTATATTCTTTTTAGCATTAACCTGCTATATACACATAGAAGTTCCAGTTTAATTTTTAAACCATTTCTTTTCCAGTTTTAGTTACTTTTTGCCACAAAAAAATGTAAAATGTGAATAGTAGAACCCTTTACATGCGTGTTAAGTGATTGAGAACTTAGCCATGTGTTCTAAATTCTTAGCCAAAAAAGGCTTATTTTTCTACATTCATGTTTAAGATTTGTGTAGTAAGATGCTCAGTGATAGACTCAGCTGTATAAAAGAGATCTTAAAGGTAATTTAGTCTCACCTTCATGACTCTCACTCAAATTTATTTTTCAATATTCTATTTAACTGAGTTCATCATTTGTTTGAAAATCATCCGAAATAATTGGATGCTTCACTCCCTGTGGACACAGCTTATTATATTTTGGGATACTCAAGTCGTAACAAGACTTTATTCTTAAGGGACACAGAGAATATGTATCAGTTTTCCTCCTATCTCACTGGCGACTCCTTCTGGGTCTCTTGCTAAATTTTTCTCTGAATATTGAAGGCATCAAGCCTTAATCCTCATCTTTTATATCATCTTAGCCTCTACCTAATTAATTTTACTTTATCCCATGCCTTTAAACTTAGGGCACACTGAGGACTCTCAAATGTATAACTTTAACTTTGACCTTGCCCATTGATCTCTGAATGCCTATGTCCAACTTTTTATTTTATATCTCAATGTAGCTATCTAAATGGGCGTCTAAAACTTCACTAGGTAAAATGGTACTCTTGATGACCAATCCACCCTCACACTCACATACCAATCTCTTTTTGTCTCAAGTTTTCTCCCATCTCAGTAAATGGTACTTCTATCAGTTACTCAAGCCAAAATCCTCTTCTTCAGTTCCTTTATTTTCCTCTCCCTCACATCCAATTTACCAGCATGACCTGTTGGCTTTCTCTCCAAAATATATCCCACATTCATCTGATTCTCTTCATTTTCACCACCAACCTAGTCCAAGCCTCCATCCTCTTTCCTGGACTACCACAATAGCTTCTAAAATAAAAAGTAACTTTTCCTCTCCCTCAGCATTGGTGACTAAGGCACACAGATCATAAACAAGAATGACTAAATACCACAAATCTAAAGCAAGCCAAATACTTCCTCCAAGGTTTGTTAAGAGGCAACAAAGCCAGACACAGTGGTGCATGCCCGTAGTCCCAGCTACTTAGGAGGCTAAAGCAGGAGTATCGCTTGAGGCCAGGAATTCAAGTCCAGGCTAAGGAAGACAGCAGGAGTTTTCAATGTATAACTATTCTATAACCCATAAACATGTTTTCTAAAAAGAGGCAATAGAACTCAATTTACTTCCATCAACCAGCACTCTACCATTTCCATATACTCCCATCTCCAGTCTTTAGAAGACTAGGGAGGAAAGAGGGGGGATGTCATAACACCAGCTGTCACCTTGTCGAAATCATAGTGTTTGTAATAAGAGACTCTCACACACATATCCCACCTTGCTTCACCCTTGGGAGAGTAAAAGTGGGGCACTTTCCTCTATTCAGGTGGGGAGAGTTTCAAGAAAATCACTCAAAAGAGATCAGGGACCCTGAAAGAAGGGGAAATTGAGAAGCAATATAGCACAGTTAAGAGAAAGAGCTCTGAGCCTGACTGATCGGGTTTGTCTTCCAACTCCACCCCTCTCTCACTGGGTAACACTGGACAAACCTTGAACAAATCACTTAATCTCACTTAAGTTCCTCTATTTGTAAAAGTAATATATGCCTCATAGGATTGTTGTCAGGGTTAATATGCATTACATCTGTTACACCATGTGAAGAAGTTAGATCATGGCACACAATAAGTGT